TGTGTTCTTTTATAGATATGTCAGTAAGAGAGCAAATGGGCTATTTAAAAGTATATATACAAATAATGCATGAATACATTCTTATAAAAATTTAAGTAATACAGCCCTGACCAGTTTGGCTTAGCGGTTAGAGCATCGGCCTGTGGTCCAGAGAGACCTGGGTTCGGTTCCCGCTAAGGGCACGTACCTCATTTGCAGTTTGTCCTCGACCCTGGTTGGATCGTGTGGGTGGCAACCACTTGATGTGTCCCTTTCATGTCGATGTTTCTCTCTCTCTCTCTCTCTCTCTCTCTCTCTCCCCCTCTCCTCTCTCCCTCCCTCCCTCTCCCTCCCTCCCTCCCTCCCTCCCTCCCTCTCCCTCTCCCTCCCTCTCCTTCCCCCTCCCTCCCTCCCACTCTGTCTGAACAAAAAATGTCCTCAGGTGAGGATAAAAAAAAAATTTAAGTAATACAGAAATATACAGAGTAAAAATTAAAAGTTCTCCATCAGTCTCTCATCTTCACTCCCAATTAGTTAGTACACTTCTGGAGGGCATTGGGACAACAAGTATAATGTTTAATATACGTCTAAACTTTGGCCCTGGCCGGTTTGGCTCAGCGGTTGGAGCATCGACCTGCGGACCAGAGAGTCCGGGGTTCGGTTTCCACTAGGAGCACGTACCAAAACAAAAAACAAACAAACAAAAAAAAAAAAACAAGAGAAAGAAAGAAAAAGAAAAAATATACGTCTAAACTTTGACCCAGAATTTCCTTTTCTGGAAATGTATCCTAAGGAAATAATAGGATAAGTTCCCCCAGACATATATAGAGGAGTGTTCATCTCAGTATTACTCATAATAACAGCTAACACTTACCAGCAATTTACTGTGTGCCAGGAACTGTTTAAAAACATAACATGTTAAGCCCTGGTCGGTTTGGCTCAGCGGTTAGAGCGTTGGCCTGCGGTCCTGAGAGACCCGGGTCCGGTTCCCGCTAAGGGTGCGTACCTCGGTTGCAGTTTGTCCCCAGCCCTGGTCGGTTGTGTGGGTGGCAGCCACTCGATGTGTTCCTTTCACATCGATGTTTCTCTCTCTCTCTATGTTCCTCTCTCTCCCTCCCACTCTACCTGAACAAAAAATGGAAAAATGTCCTCGGGTGAGGATAAAAAAAATAAAAATAAAAATAAAAACATAACATGTTAACACATTGGATCCTCATAAAAACCCTATGATAACAGTAGGTATTATGGTTATTCCCATTTTATTGATGAGAAAGCTGAGGCACAGAGAAGATTCAAATTGAGGCAGTCTGACTCGGAGACCCACACTCTCAGTTTTCATACTGTTTTGCCTCTACTGCTAGAATAATGGAAACAGGAACAAATCTAACTGTCTATCAAAGGTACTTGATTAAATCAATTACGATACATCCATACAGTGGACTATCATCAGCTCTCATAATGTTGCTGTACATTGATTTTCATTGACGTGACAAAGGAAAAAAGAGAAGCTACAGAACTCTATATCTATAATTCCATTTTTGGTTTTTTAAATTTATATAATTATGAGAAATTATGTAAATGTATCTGTACACAGAGAAAAAACTTTGGAAAGACGTGAATGCCAAAATATTAACTGATTTTTTTTCTGGAAGGCAGCATTACAGGTGTCTTTCTTTTCCTCGTAATACACTTCTATATTTGGGAAGTAAAACAGTCCTGTATTACTTTCATAATCTAAGAAAAGCAGTAAAGCTACTTTTAAAGTGTTGTGACAATTGCTACTTTTATCAGTGAATGCGAGAGGGCTGCTAGTGAATTTTCGAACAAAGCTTTGCTGCTTCACGCCACACCCAGATAAAGAGCTTTGGGCAGCTCGCTGGCCCCAGCACGGGGGTTTCCTGTCTCTCTGCCCAGATACAGAGTTCCCATGATTGTCCCACAGAGATAGGTATAGACATGTCTGGGTTCCCAACCACAGTCGAATCTGGCTGGATTTCCAGATTCTGGACTCAAGACATTCCTGCTGGCTGTAACTTCATTAACACCAAGTCCCATCTATTACCATCCTTGTGCTGCCTTCTGGAGCATAGACTACAGGGAACCTCAGAAACCATACCTTAAATACCCATAAGGGAGATTTGGCGAAGTGTGTGGGTCTGTGCTCTCTCTTGTGCATGTGTGCGTGCTCTCTCTCTCTTTCTGTATTGACTTTGTTCCACGTAGGTGCTACAGGCATCTGAAATAAAGTACTGCTGATGAGGAAACAGAATATCAGTCTAAATGAAGTGCAACAGAACAATTTATTCAACTGAGTCAGCAAACATCTATTTGGTGACCGTTGGCAGTCAGGCCCTACTTGAGGCACGGAGGGAGCTCACAGTCTCAAGGGGAAGACACACTGATCGTTCAGAGAGATGGTGACATTTCAGTGGATTTTGGAAGAGGAGTCGGGGTTTGGCAGGTGGAAAGTGGGAGAAAGGCCTTCAGAGGGAATAGTAAGTGCAAAGCCATGAGCACAAAGGAGTTTGGCTCCTGGAACACAAAGCCCAGGACAGGTCAATGTAGGTGAGTGTTGATGGTCACCAGATGGCAGAAGGGCTGGGGGGGGGGGGGGGCGGGATGAGTGAGAAAGGTGAAAGGAACTAGGAAGTAAAAATTGTCGGTTATAAAGACAGTCACGGGGATGTAAAGTACAGCATAGGGAATATAATCAATAATATTATAACAACTATGTATGGTATCAGATGGGTACTAGACTTACGAGGGTGATCACTTCATAAGGTATATAAATGTTGTACACCTGAAACTAAAATAATACTGTATGTCAACTGTAATTTTAAAAATAAATGTATAAAAAACATAGGTGAGTGTTGAGGGTAATGACTCCAAAGATGTTAAACTTGGCAATAACAAGTTTTTAAAATTATATTAATTTGGCAAGTCATCTGTTTTTATTTTAGTAACTTACAAATGTCTTACTCAAAGCAAGAACCTTCTAATTATTCTGACCTGAGAACCTAGCCTTCTTTCAGTGGCCTGTTCACTGCCTCCCACCTCTGCCCTGTATTGCTCACGGGGAGCTTCTGTCGGGTGTCTCTGTTAGTCCCCAGGAGGCTCCAGGTAGAGGATGTGGCCAGTGTACAAATGAGGACCCACCTGCTACGGAAGAGCTGAGATTTGCCCGAGGTAGAGCATTCCAAGTAAGGTTTGGGGTGAAAGTGGAAAGAAGAAAGCAAACTCTCCTGCCAGCATTTGTGCAAGAGCAGCAAAGGAGAGTAGGAATTTGTAGAGGGGGAAAAAATCATTTACCTCTTCTAGGAAAGGAAGAATCTGCTTAACAGACAGAAAAGCTAGTCTCTTATGCTGGTCTTTTCATCCTCAGGGAGGTAGCTGAAGTGTGGTCGCACAAAATATTTGGAGTCAAAAGATTTGGAACTGAGAGCCACTCTCGATTTTGCTGAGCCTCGGTTTCCTTGTCTGTAAAATGGGAGAATTATACTGACTCTCAAGTTTGGTGTCAGGCACAATGAGGCAATGTACAAATGTTTTGTGAACTCAGGTGCCTTATACCTGCTATCAGAAGCCTCCAGGTTAAAGCACAGTGTGTCTTAAAACTTAGTGGGAATAAAACAGCCTTAGGCAGCCTTTCCTAAAGTACCTTCCTCCTTTTCCCCATGCCTTCATTTCCAATCCCTATTGTGTTTTTCTTCATAGCAGGTATCATGACCTAAAAAGAAACTGATTATTCTCTCTTCCCCTGCTAGACAGCCAGCTCCAAGGGAACAAGACTCTGCTGGTGTTATTCACCACTGTCTCTCCAAGTGCCCAGGGAAGGCCTGGTGCATAGGAGGTACTTAATAATAAATAGTTGTTAAATGTTGAATGGACACAAGTGAATGCATAATCTGATTCTTCCAGGAACAGGACAGCTGGATCTCAAATTGTGGTTGGTTGGTTTCAAATGCAGGCTCCCTGCCCCAGCACTGAGGGATTTTGATTTAGCAGAACTGGCTACTGAATTCGTGATTTTTTAAAAAAGTTTTTTCTTTTTCTTCTTAATTGATATTAGAGAGAGAGGGAGAGGGAGGGAGAGAGAGAAACATCGATGAGAAAGAACATCGATTGGCTGCCTCCTGCATGCCCCCCACTAGGGACTTGGCCCACAACCTGGGCATGTGCCCTGACCCAGAATCTAACCAGTGACCTCTTGGTGCCTGGGTCAATGCTCAATCACTGAGCCACACTGGCCTGGCTGAATTTGCTATTTTTAAATGAGTGCCAGATGATTCTGTTGCAGGTAGTCACTGAGAAAGTTACTTTGAATCGAACACATCTCTCTCTCTCCTTTTTAAAATGTTTTTATTGATTTTTTAGAGAGAGAAGATGGGAGAGATAGAAACATCAGAGAGAAATATCGATCGGCTGCCTCCTGCACACCCCCATACCACAACCTGGGCAACGTGCAGAGGAACGGGGACCTATCAGTCCATGGGACCACGCTGAATAGAATAAATCTTGTTTTGACCCCAGCCTGCCATTTACTAGTTGTATGACTTCAGGGAGGTAACTTAACTTCTCTGAGCCTGTTTCTTTATCTGTAAAGTAGGAATGACAATGAAGTTGTTATGATAATTAAATTAAGTAATGGATGTAAAATTCTTGGTATAATACCCATTATTCAGGTAGCTGCCATTGTTATTTTTATTGTCATTCTTACGTTATTGCTGCTACGCCTTGGCAGAACTTTCTCCCTGGAGGGTCACCCTTGGGAATCTCCTCAAAGTGTGGTCCCAAACCAGCAGCACCACAACACCTGGGAGCTGATTAGAAATGCAGAGTCCCTGCCCAACCCCAGACCTGCTGAATCAGCATCCACATTTTGACAAAGTCCCTAGATGATCTGTTTGCACATTCGAGTTTGAAAAGCAAGGCTGAAAGTTGCATGCACTGTGTTCTTCTTGTCTTTAATTTCAGAGTCAGCCCAGGATTTCATAAGCCCCGGCTTCCCAGAGGCTGAGTCCCTGACCGACTTCTGCTGCAACTCCAGCCGAGGACGTTAGGAGGAGGGATTCCCTCACAGAGCCCCAACTAATGCCACAGTCTCTGAGCAAGTGCCTGTGGAGACGGGATGGATCCTAACCCTAGTTTGCTTTCTTCTCCATCTCGGGCCTGCGCCCAGCCAGCAGAACTTTGTATGGAAGGTAGGAGAAACCCATCGCCCTGTGAGCAGGGCAGAGACTCCTCCTTTTCCTGGAACCAGGTCCCTAATTCCAGCCTCACTGACCCTGACTGGTTTGGGGATCAGCAAGTCCAGGCAAAGAGGGCCAGAGTGGAGACCATCATCCGAGGCATGTGCCTCTCCCCGAACCCCCTGGTGCTGGGCAGTGTCAGAGCCAGGGACAGCCCAAGCTGCCCGGAGAAGGCCCGGGAGCGGAAGAGGAAGCAGAGCCTTCCCATGCAGCAGAACCCCCCGAAACCGGGCCCTGCTGGGACCCACGGCAGCAAAAAGGGGGGCCCCCATGTGAGAGAACAGCTTCACATGCTGAAGCAACAGCTGAGACAACTGCAAGAGCACATCCTGCAGGCTGCCGAGTCTGGGAACTCAGCTCCGGGTGCTCACAGTGCGAAGCAGAGGAATGGCTACGGGCGTTGGCCCTGGACTATGGACAGCGACCAGCAGGGTTCTGGTGGGGACCTTTCTGGGGTGGAGAAACACAGGGTGGCAGAGGTTGAACACCAGCCTGAGGAACCCAGGTCTCTTTCTTCTGGAGCACGAGCTTTGCTGGAGATTCTGAGGAAAGAATTGACTGGGGCAGTGTCCCAGGCTGTGGACGCAGTATTGCAAAAGGTACTATTGGATCCACCAGGCCACCTGACCCAGCTGGGCCAAAGCTTCCAGGAGCTGGTGCCAGAGAGTAGAAGTGAGACTTCATCCGAGGGAGGTGCCTGTAAAGACCCTCTTCCGCTGGCCGCCTTGCCCAGGAGGGCCCAGGCACCGGCCGGGGGTCCACTGGGCAATGTATCACTGGCTAAGCCTCTAGACTCTCCTGGATACCCTGTCTCTCTGAGAATGATCTCCACACCCTGTCAGGGCCCCACAGCAAAGTGTCCCTTGACTGTGCCTTCCCACATGCAGGAAAATCAGATGCTTAGCCAGCTCCCGGGTCACGGACATACTGGTCACTGGAGCGGCAGGCTTCCCCAGGATGCCTCTTCCCAAAGTCACCCCCCCTCGGAGACTGCCCTGCGACCTTGGGGAGCTGTCAAACTGCGACCATCGGTTTTGAGCCAGCAGCAGCACCCCGTGCCCTTCACTTCTACCCGTTTGGAAAAACTGCCCTTTCTTCCCTCCGTGAAGATGGAGCAGGGTGGCCTGCAGGCTGGCACTGGTGTGCTTCCCTTTGCTTCAGTCCACATATCCTTTCCTAGCGGCTGGCGGTCTCATTCGCAGTCCACTGAAACGGAGTCTGGAAGGAGGGGAGGTGGGGACAAATGGCTCCATAGCATAGGGAAGAGCTTTGTTTTGTCCACTGTCTTTTTTTTTTTTTTTTTTTAAATTCTTACCCCATTTATCTTGAGACAGAGTGGGAGGGGGAGAGAGAGAGAGAGAGAAACATTGATGTGAGAGAGACACATAGATTAGCTGCCTCCCACAGGACCAGGGCCAGGGACCAAACTGCAACCGAGGTATGTGCCCTTGACTGGAATTGAACCCGAGACTCTGGTCCGCGGGCCAATACTCTAACCACTGAGAAAACCAGCCAGGGCTCTCCATTGTCTTCTTTTTTTTTTATCTTCACCCGAGGACATTTTTCCATTTTTTGTTCAGATAGAGTAGGAGGGAGAGAAAGGAAGAGAGAGAGAGAGAGAGAGAGAGAGAGAGAGACATCGACGTGAAAGGGACACATCGGGTGGCTGTCAACCGCACGACCCAACTAGGGCTGGGGACAAACTGCAACTGAGGTACATGCCCTTAGCGGGAACTGAACCCGGGTCTCTGTGGACCACAGGCTGATGTTCTAACTGCTGAGCCAAACCAGCCAGGGCTCTCTATTGTCTTCTTAATGTTGCTTCTAGGCCTTCCTTCCCCATGGCTCACAGTTATTGGGTTCCTGAGAAAGTGGTGACCGCATTCTAGGAAGTAAGGTTCATTTATCTTCTCCATGACACATCGGATTCTACCACTACTGACTTACTGCTTTGGATCTGAAAGGGTTTGTTTGTTTTTAAATTCAAATGGGCTTCTGCCCTGGCCAGTTTGGCTCATTAGAGCATCAGCCCGCAGACCAGAGAGACCTGGGTTCGGTTCCCACTAAAGGCACGTACCTTAGTTGCAATTTGTCCCCGGCCCTGGTTGGGGTCGTGTGGGTGGTAACCACTTAGTGTGTCTCTCTCACATCAGTGTTTCTCTCTCTCTTCCTCCCTCCCTCCCTCTGGCTCTGTCTGAAAATAAATGTGGAAATGTCTTCCAGTGAGGATAAAAAATAATAATAATAATAAACTAAAATAAATAAATTCAAATGGGCTTCCAAAATACCACAAATACCAAGAACTCTATAATTTGGTTGTCAGCTGCCCACGTACGTCAGCAGAAAGAGTCAAAGGAATGGCCTCATCTGCGGCGCGGTCCCCAGCCCTGCTCCACAGGCAGAAGGCCTGCGCGATCTAGATAATTCATGAGGAAGATCTGAGGGGCCAGAGCGTATGAGTCAGGTGCAGAAGGAGACATTTTCCTCAGGCACTAGACCTGAGGCAGCTTGGAAGAGGGTAAGGAGACTTCCGTTTAAGATACAGCTTCTAAGCTGCAGCTGAGAAGACTAGAGCTGAGGGTTGAGGTGTGTGGAGGGAGGGGAGCCCTCCTCCCCTAAGGCTGAGGGGCCAGGCTGGTGTGTGACGTTCTGGACCTATTGTGTAACCATTGTCACCTTTAGACACTCTCTTAAACAATGTTTCTCACAGTGAAGCTCCCTCAGGATATTAATAGTTGTTGAATCAGAAAAAAAAAAGTAGCTTGGCCCAGCTAGTGTGGCTCAGTGGTTGAGCATTGACCCATACACTAGGAGGTCGCGGGTTCGATTCCCGGTCAGGGCACATGCCCAGGTTGTGGGCCTGATCCCTAGTGGAGGACATGCAGGAGGCGGCCAATCGATGTTTCCCTTTCTCTCGCCCTCTCTCTAAAATCAATAAAGAAAAAAAATTAGTTAAAAAAAAAAGTAGCTTCGGTAACTACTGGGTTAGTTTCTTTGTTTCGGGACTTCTCAGAGCCTTTAACATGCTGAAAGTCCAACATGAAGCTCTAAGAGGAGAATGTCTGCAGTCCCAAACTCATGACCAAAGAACCCTCTTCCATCATGAATCCTGTAGGACTAAAGTTTCTCACAACGTATGTTGGACGTTGCTTTTTTAAAAGCGAGCTGAACTCACGCTGCTGCTTCTCGTGGGCAGCCTTGAATTGAGTGTCCAGGCGTCGATGGGTCTATGGTGTGAACAGACAGACGTACCCTCTGTCTGGCAATCTAAAGTAAAGGCGGCAGGATCCGGTGGGACGAGCTCACTGCCACACCAGGGCCGGCTCTTGTGTCCTAAGTGCTATGCGCGCCCCCTGCTGGTCACAGGTGTTGGAAACACCCCAAAGCTCGGTGCTGCTAGGTGCTTTCCAGGCAGGCAGTACCGACAGTAAAACCAATGCTGAGAACACTTCACCAGCCACCACTGCCTCCCAGGCAGCAGGGAATCTTGGAGGCATAGAGATATCAGCATAGTATCTGGTTAGGCGATCACCCTGTGTGAGAAAGGCTACCTGTGTGGGCCTTTGATAAGAGACCACTGGTTAAGACTCCTGTTAAGGTCAGGCAGTGGTGGAAGAAACCTGACTCAGTCCCCAGAGGGTCTCTGCTGTACGTCTCTTGGGAGGGGCACGCTGATCTTTCTCAGGCACCCACTGTGTGCCTGGCCCTGCCCTGTGAAACGAGGATCAGGCTCAGAGAGCTTCAGGTTTCAGGGCCCATCCACCGGGCCTGGCAGTGCAGGCGAGGTACTTGGCTACCTTTGGAATGATTTGGGGCTCCAGGCAGCATCCTGGCCTCCCAGCTATTCCCTCATTCCTGCTGCCTACTTTCCAGCATCAGAGATTTATTCCTGGGGTCCATGAAAGACACCTAAGAGCAAGATACTTTGACCTGTAAAAGAGCCTTCACATTCATGACATCCCTGGGAAACAGGTAAAGCAGGTGTGACGAGGAGCTAATAACGAGGGTAGCACTCGCTGTGCCCTGTGGCAGGCACTGCCACCAGCACTTCACATGTCCGTGTCTACCACCACTGAGCTCCGTTCTAAGTCAGAACGCCCTGCGAATCCCTGACTTCTTTCCCCTGATGCTGATGGGAACTTTTTTGACGGCAAAACCTGACATGCACTGATTGGAGGTTATTTATAGACTGTCCCACTTAATGTAAATAGTCACCCATTTTGCTGTAGCAATATTAATGTATTGGATTACACTTGGCTGCCACAGCCTCCGTGGTGGGGGTTAACTAACATATGGTACACATACTATATTACCTTTATAAAATAACAGAACTGAAATCTGAACTCCACTCTAGATCTGGTATCTGAGAGGCGAGGGCAGAAAAGTGAACTTGCCCAAAGTCACAAGACAGACACATGCAGAGCCAGGATCCAAACCCAGGATCTGACTGACAAGCACAAGCATTGTTTTTTCAAAAATCCTCACCCTGGGATGTTTTTTTCCATTGAATTTTAGAGATAATGGAAGGGAGGGAAGGATGAGGAGAGAGAGAGAAACATCGATGTGAGAGACACATTGATTGGTTGCCTCCTGCACACACCTTGACCAGGTCTGGGGATTGAACTTGCAACCCAGGTACATTTTCTTAATCGGGAATCAAACATGTAACCCATTGGTGCACGGGCCAACTCTCTAACCACTGAGAAACACCAGCCAGGGTGACAAGTACAAGCGTTAACCACTACATTCTACATTTAGAAACGGTCCAGAGAAAGTAAATGGCTTGCCCAAGGTCACACAGCTAATAGGTGGCAAAATCAGCATCTAAAACTGGGTCTTTGGATTTGAGGATTCTTTCCACAGTACTTATGAACCCATAAGGATAAGCAGTGCCAATGAGGCAGGGTGCTAGGCCAGCCATAACTATAATCAGTTGGTTTCCTTTGGCTAAACTGATACATCCTACTGAGAAGTCTTAGTTGTCCAAAAGCTATAGCTTTCAGACGTGAGCTCCAAGGTTCCTCTGTGTAAAGCTTCTCATCCAGCCCCAAGACTGTCCCAGCAATGCTAAATGTTCTTGTGTAAAAATCTTATTTCCCTCCCACCCTGGTGCTAGGCCATCAAACCGCAGCTTCCTGCTCGTTCAAGGGGAAGGGATCTGTTCCCAGACTGAGGTATGGGTTGAAATACATTTTCCCTATGTGGGTATGGATTAAGGTTGACCATGTAATCATTCACTCATTCCATTAGCTAACACACATTTATTGAGCACCTATGTTCCTAGCAGTGGGCTAGGCATGTGGATACAAAGATGAAAATATAAGGTCCTTGCTCTTGAGGAGCTCACAGTCTAAAAAGGGAGACAAACATGCAGTAAAAAGTTCAGTAAGGTCATTGCCATAACAGATGTTTGTACAAAGAACTGGTAGCTCAGGGTAAGGAAGGTCTACTTTGGCAAGGAAAGGTTTCACAGAGGAGGAAGCGTCTGAGCTGAGACAGGAAGGAGGGAGAGTTCTTCCAGGCGAACAGAGGGCAGGTGCAGAGCAGCAGTTCAAGTTCCTTGAGGCAAAACGAACTGTGATCTGGTACTGTCCGGTTAGACACTGTTGGCTTAAGCACTGCAAAGGCAATTATGAGAGCCAGAATGGGACCATCGAGGTGACTCTTCTCATTTTACAGATGAGGAAACTGAGGCAGCAGGGAAAGTAAATCTCTTCTTGGGGTTTCGAAATGATTTATCTGGGATAGAGCTGCCATCTCTTCCCATCCTATTTATTCTGAAAGCACATGCAAAGTACAACAAACTGTATTGACATTATTTATGCCACAGAACTTTTACACATCAAAGTGGTTTTTAAATTCTGCAACTGTACTGTACTGGGTGTACACACACACACACAGTATTCAGCATCCGGAAAGAAAAAGCTTATTGGATCAGACTTGCTAGAGACACAAAAATGGAGCAAATATACCATTCAACCAAAATAAAATTCAAACCATGAGGGATGGGACAATTAATTTACTGTTTGGATACTTTGATAATACTATTTTATAAACTGGTGTTAATTTTCCTTGACACTGAGATAAATCCAGGAGGGTCTAAATCCCAGTCACTTGAAGAAGGCCAAACTAATGTTTTTCTTCACACGCTATCCCAGCTCAAACCTCCTGAAGGCTTATTTCCCCGATGTACAGGTAAAGTCATTCCACTGAGTATCAGCTTCTGCAAAACTCCCAAGTGGCAGTGGGCTTTGCCCAGTGTGAGCTAAGTCCTAGGTCAGCATGTGCGCACCTTAGCTCTCCTTAATGTTGGTGGCACTGTTGTGATTTCCAGTTCTGGGGTGAGACTCAGCCTCAATAATCATGAATAACTTTGGAAGTTAGGAAGGTTGGGTATTTGAACTTATAAGCGTTTGAGCTGCAGATATACCCAGAAACACATGGGGAGGGAAGAAGGGGGAGTGAGAAACATTAGTAATTGGCATCTTTGGCCTAGTGTTCTGTCTTTGCTGAGGACACTGTGAAAAGACAGAATATGTAAAGAGTTGGACACTGTAAAATGACATTCAAATAGCTGTGATTCAAACAGAGTAGAGGTACATACAGATCTAGTGTGACAATAAGGAAAATCCAGCTCCAGTGGTTGGAACCAGACCTTGCCTGTTCCTATAAAATTTCTAAGGGTTTCCCCTTGCCCTGGGTATTGGGTTAGGGCTAATATTTTGTATCTGTATCATTTCTTTGCATTTCTAGGTTGATCCCTACACCAAGCTCTGATTTCGATTCATTCTGAAATTCCAAGTTGCTGATAAACTGCTCTCTGACCTACACACTCACCCCTTCCCTTGACCCTTGTCAGGCAGAAGGCTCTGGGGCTGCCATGCAATTGGCCTGGGCACAGCAGAAGCTGGTATCAAACTGGCCTTGACCCTGGACCCTCCCAAAGTCACAACTAGACACCATGGCAAGCTTTTCATGGGTGAAAAACCTTCATAAAACCAGGTCATCAGAAGACATTTATTTTCTAATGGGGACTATAGCTAATTCAGATTTTTCTATAACTGAATAGGCTTAGCAAATAGCCATGGCTTCTTTTTCAAAGGAAGTCCTTTTTAGCGTTGGTTGAAGCCATTCTTATTAACCTCTGACAGTTCTACCTCTGAGCACCTTATGGTAAACAGCTGACTTGATGGAAGTTTGTTGTTTGTACAGTTCAACCGCTGCATTACCTCCCAGATGATCAAGTGGTTCAGCAACTTCCGTGAGTTCTATTACATCCAAATGGAGAAATTTGCCCGGCAAGCAGTTTCAGATGGCATCAAAAATCCCAAAATGCTGCTGGTTCTCCGTGACTCCGAACTTTTTCGAGCTCTCAATATGCACTATAACAAGGGAAATGACTTTGAGGTAAGACCACGTGCTTGGGTCCAGTGAGGCTGGAGTTTTAGAAAGATCCCCTCTGTGTCTGTCCTTAAGTCACTGAGAGCCAGGGCAGCGTGGGGCCAATCTCTGTACCATCCGCAAAGATCACAGCCTCAGTAGATTCTCTTGGGCAACAAGTGGGTGCTGCAAACTGAATATACAGTCGATCTTCATTCTGAAACTTAAGCAGAGGTCTGCCAGGCGTTATGCCATTTTGGACTTAATACTCTGGGATTATCAGTTTACAGGAGGCCCAGGACTAAATGCTGGGCTCAGCTGCAACACCTAGTCTTGGCCCAAGTTTTCTTTACAACAATTTCTGTTCATCATTTGGTTCTTCTCTTTATTCTCACTTGAACAGTTTTATTTGTGGGCCTTCCAGGCAAGTCATCTCCAATCCTTTCTGGAAATAATGAACAAACAATATTCAAGCTTCTGAGTCCTTTGGGGATCTCTCTGAAGGCACACTGGTAGCACCTTAGAGGTGAGGCATCGGTACAGGGTGAGTGTCTGTGTGTCATTGGCGAGAACTCCTAATCCAGATACATCTCCCGCGTGCACTGGCGGCTTTGTTAGTCTGCCATCTTGTTCTGAAGGTGACCAGGCATGCCTGCTCACCAACCACACTCACCTCTTCCTGACTTTCACTGCACTGTGGTCACAATGAGCAGTTTATTGATAAATCCAAAGAAAGAAAGAATTGCTGGCATGCACTGGTCAGATGTTCCATCCGAATGTGTGGAAACATAAGCCGACCTGTGGGTCAAATGGACCTGAGGCTTGTGGGGTCAGGACTATGGGACGGGCAGCACTGCCACATCTTTCCAAGTGGGGGTGGTCATTTGGCATGCGGTGGTGGCCAGGCTGGATCTGGAAGACCTGTGGGATGCCCCATTGATTATGGTGCCAGTCTGAGTGAGGTTCTGGAACATATTCTTTAGCCCCCCTCAACCTTATAGTTGGTTTTGGAAGCAGGAATGATTCCAAGTCCTATGGACCCAGCCTCAAAAGATGGTGGGATGAAGTACAACAGTCATAAACTTGGGGGCACTCTTTTCCATATTAGGCACTAAGGAAATGGATGCTATACACCTCTTTTGAACCACAGGTTTAATTTCCATCAGAGTAAGAGTTTCCCACTTACTAAAAATGTCACCCATGAGTGGAATCAGCTCCTGCTACAAAGGGACTGTCCTTAATATGCTTTCTCCCAGGGCTGTCTCATTGGTACCATCATTCGAAGGTTTGTATTTGATGAAGAAGCAGGAGATTCCCAGGGCTGCAAGAACCAGGGGCCAGTACGGCAGGGATGCTCTTATTGGCCCATCACTAGGGAACAGGCGGCACCAGGCAGTGAGGTCGTACAGCTCCAGTGCTTCACAGCCTCATGTCTTTTCTTTCTTGTGTGTCTCTTTGGGAGTGCAGGTCCCAGATTGCTTCTTGGAAGTCGCCAGCTTGACGTTACAGGAGTTCTTCAGGGCTGTCTCCGCAGGGAAAGACTCAGATCCTTCCTGGAAGAAACCCATTTATAAAATTATTTCGAAACTGGACAGTGACATTCCACAGATATTCAAATCTTCCAGCTATCCCCAGGAGCCGTTTCGGAATTAAGATCCCACAAAGTGAGGAGCAACTGGCCAGGGCCTCCTGGGGTTGTCTTAAATGGCAGTCAGGGCAGCTGTGGTAATATAAAAAGGGCACAAGGATAGACCTACCCCCCCCAACAGGTACTACTACCATTTCTGATCATTTATTTCCTTTTCCAGAATCATCAGAAGTTTGACCTTAACTATAAAATATATAAACCAAGTGTAATGGTGTGTTGGTAGCATATTGTAAAGGGAACACAACTTTTTAAAAATCAGAAGACCTAAATCTCCACTCCACTGTTTCCAAGTGTTGTGAGCCCAGGAACTTGCAGGTATTCTCTGCATCTGTTAAACAAGTCCTACAGTACTCTGGGAAACGTTACTCACTACACAAATGTTAGAGCCCACCCCAACCCCCTCGGGCTGTCAGATAAGCTTATCTTATTTGGTTTGTTTGACAAATTGCTGGTTTTAGTTACCTATTTATCAAGCTCTACCTATTTGCTAGATGCTTTCAAGTACATGATCTTTAAGCTTTTTATTCTGAAAAGTAGACATTACCTTCATTTAAAAAAAAAAAACACCAAACAGAAGTTTTAAAATAGTGACGTAACTTGCCAAAGTACAAGGCTAGGGCATTGGGGCTGGTAGGGGCAGTCAGGAGTGTGGAGGAACCCAAGACCTTCCGATGCCAGATTGTAGCCTGACCACCTCTTGCTCCTTGTCATGATCCTAAGCAGACCACCATCTCCAGTAAGCACTGTCATTGGACAACCCCTGCATAGCACTTAGGTGTGCTTTATCACCCAGGATTTTCACTGATCATTCCAGCAAGCCCAACAAACTCGGCAGAACTGGAATGTTGCTGTTCATTCACATTTGCCTGCTGGAAGTGTTTATTTGCTGGACAACCCAAACTGTCTCTAGGTGACCCATAGAAGTGATGTCCAACCTTCCATGTGCAGAAGCTGAACTTCAGAATGCAAAAGCTAGAAAGGGCCTTAGCAGATCATCCTGCCCACCTTGCCTCAATTAGGAAGGAGGAAACAGGCCCACAGGAGACTTGCACAGCCTGTGCACAGCCTCACAGATGATGAACGGCACACATGGGACAAATACAGTATCACACACAGAAATGGAAATTCCTGCACTCCACAAGGAAATTACAGCCCATGGTCATATTTCACAGATAAAGGAACTCATGAAATCAACATTTATTTTTTCCCCCAACTAGCCCAACGCAAATTGTGACTCACTCTGAGGACACAGGCAAGTCGTCTGCCAAGCCGAGTAATTGCGCCTGTCTTCTAAGATAGAATCAAGTCTTCGGAAGCTCTGCCCAAAGGTGTGCAGGCTGTGGTGAGGGGCACACAGCTTGGGTCCTGTCCTTCTGATTAAGGGGTGTCTATGACATCATTAGCTTACTTCTTTCCCATCTACATACAACAGGTTTTCATATTCAATTACCCACCTCATTGACTTTTCGGATGGGCTGGATCTGATGAGATGAAATCCCTAAACTACTACTAGATGTGTCAACATGAAAAGGTATAAAAGATGGCTTTCTTTTGCATTGTCATTTACTTCAAACAACTGAGAGGAAAAACAAAACAAACATACCCAGCCCAAACTAATCTTCTCAGGTTGTGTTAAAGTTATTTTGAAGTGTCCTCCAATACATCCAGTTGCACTCAGCTCATCTTTGCCCTATTTTCTCTCACAATGTTTCCTTTACAAAAGTGAAGGACTCTGCCAAATCTAAGTTTTAAAAGCAGGCAAACCCTGAGTACCCGGAGCAAGGGCACTCAGTTGTGTGTTTGGAGACCGCAGGAGAGCCCACTATCCAGAGTGATATTACATAGCTGTGTAAGGCTCATGGGAAACAATTCCAAGTTCACATGATTGTCTGATACGGAGCAGCCATTTTCTGTCCCAAACCTGAAATTCATTACTGTGTGTTTTAAAGACAGAGCCAAGTCACCTCCAGGGCAGTGAACCTTGTCCCAGGGACCAATTAGATGAAATGTACAAGCTCAAATTGAAAACATTTGTGTCCTACAGTCTTTCCAGGAACTGTTTTCTAACCACTGAGCTAAACACAAAAGAATGTATAAATATATATGCTCTGCCAACAGAAGTCTATTTTATTATATTTTTCTGTTTCTACCAAGTATGTCTCTTTTTCTGTTGGGAACACATTTTGAGTGTAAGCTGAGCTGGTTATTGTTCTTTCAGCAGCCATAACATTGCCAAGGTCTGGTCACTCTTTCCATTAAGGTATATGTGGGCATTATTTTCTCCCATATTAGACATGTTCTGAGCATGGTCGAATACTGCATATTTGTCTCATGCTTCAATAGTGGATAGTGTTTTATGACGATGGTGCTCTTTAGGAGTTAATGCCCAATTAGCAACAAAAAGCAGGCAGTTAATTGATGTCCCATGCAGAAAAAGGCTTACTTCAAGGAACCTTATTTCAAACATGGTTTCATGTAGTATACACAGCTCCAAATCAGATGCATACTGTGAAGAGGCCAAAGGTATCTCCGGACGTACGAGTGCCCAACCCATGTTCTTTCCACCAGAGAAAGGAGAGGGCAGACATGGCAGCGATAACACAGTGCTTTTGAATAAACACAGCCCCACTCTATGTAGAGGTCCACAGGTCCTTCTAAAAATTGTCTTTGTTTTCAATGACAAAATATAGAAGCCTCAGAAAAAATAATTTAAAGTAGGACTGCCATAACATAATTTTACATGTGCATTTAGAAAAATTAGCTAAAGTTTTGGTAACCAGTTTCCTGGATGAGGTCCCTATAAGTTCTAAATTTTCATAATCTTTGTTTCTAGCTTTCCCCTATAGTTTTGACCCTTAGCTCTATAAAGAAGATCAGTTTGATAATGCATTCATTAAAAATATAGGAAAGTCCAAAAATCCTTTGATATTTTTACACAAACTCTATTAGGTACACACACAGATTTCATATAAAGCAGGATCATTCTTTCAGAACTGAAAAAATTAGAAAAGACAATGACATAGAATGATGGCTGGTAACGAGATACAGAACACATTGGCTAATATAAGTTATGATTCTGTCAGGCTGATGATTAAATTATGCTTCATTGGGGGAAATAAGCTCGTGACAATATGGCAAATACTTCTTATGAGTATAAAATATTCTTGGCCAGATTTAAGTATACACAATATTCACTGGAAAGAATAAGCTCTGATGACCTATTTGACAGTATTAATAATGCAATCTGTATCTCTGAAGTAGATCATGGTACCTACACTGTATGTATTACATGCTCAACTGTGGAAAGAAATAATTCATGAAAAGAGATTTTTTAGGGGTAGAGAATTCCTATAGAAGAAGCTCTTTCATACTACATAAACCTAAATAGTGTAACCAAGTGCCCAGGTGTTGAATGCTCAGTCATATTTACCACCCCCCCAGATGTTAACCTCTAGAGGAACATCTTCCCCAAACCTCACCAGTTTCACATGTCCATCTGCTCACTGAGGAGTCTGCTAGGGTTATTTTGTTCCTCACAATCACTTCTGCAGGCTCACAAACTCTTGTTTTGTCATTTTCAAATCCTCCAGAGTCAACTCTCAAACAAACGTCATGTCCAAGTCTTTCCTTAGAAAATCCTTTTCCTCCGCTTATTTACTGATTTCTGCAGCTCAGACTCCCGTCTCCTTGAAAACTGCTAGCCTTAGGCAAGAATGTGCCTCCACTTTCTCCTCAGTTATCTGATCTGCTGCCTTCACCAACCCCCCTTTACTTTCCCCGAAACCAATACTTTCCTAAGTAGAGTTCTGTGGTTTGGTGCATGAGTTCTGGAGAGATTGTTTTTTTTTAAATTTTTTTTTTTTTTTTTTTATGTTTGTATTGATTTTATTTTATTTTATTTTATTTTTTTTTTTTATTTTTTATTTTTTCCACATCTTTATTGTTGGATGTAAAATGCATTACAGATGTTCCACATTTTTCCCCCATTGACCCCCTCCTCCCCACTCCCGCCCCCCTCCCACCTTTTCCCAAACTATTGTCCGTGTCCATTGGTTATGCATATAAGTTCTTTGGTTTATTTCTTCCACCCCCCCAACCCCTTTCCCTTTGAGGTTTGTCAGTCTAGCAATGAATTTGTGCTTCTTAATCCCTCACCTTTTTCATCCATCCCCCAACACCTTTCCAACTGGCAACCAACAAAATGTTCTCTGTATCTATGAGAATGTTTCTGTTCTCCTGTTCATTTTGTTTGTAGATTCCATTGTTGATAGATATGTATTCATTGCCATTTTGTTTGTTCATACATTTTATCTTTTTCTTTAAAAAGACCCTTCATCATTTCATATAATAACGGTTTGGTAGTGATGAACTCCTTTAACCGTTTTTTTTTAAATTTTTTTTAATCCTCACCCAAGGACACCTTTGTATCTATTCCCAGATAGAGCGGGAGGGAGAGAGAGAAACATCGATGTGAGAGACACACATTGAGTGGTCACCACCCACATGATCCCAACCAGGCGGGGGACAAACTACAACCGAGGCACGTGCCCTTAACGGGAACCAAACCCAGGACTCCCCGGTCCACGGGCTGACGCTCTAACCGCTGAGCCAAACCGGCCAGGGCTGGAGAGCATGTTTTCATCCTGGTTCAAGCACCTTGGATCTCCACAAATTACTCTCTTGGCCTCAACTTTCTCATCTGTAAATTAGGAGTAATAAAATAGCACCTACCTCATCGTACTATTCTAAGGTTAAGATAAAACAATACAGATGATGTTCTCAGCACACTCCTAATTCACAGTATGTGCTCAGTAAATGTTATATTATTACTCAGCAGGCATAAACTGTTAGCAAAACCATGAATTTGTATTGTTTACAGCAAAACATTTATTAGCTTAAGAATGGCACTGATGTGTGACATTATTGATATAAAACATATCTGACCCTGGCTGGTGTGGCTCAGTGAGTTGGAGCATCATCCCATACACCAAAAGGTGGCAGGTTC